CTAGGGTACCTAATGCACAGCATGGTAATTATAGTTAACAATACTGCATAGTATACTTAAATACAAAATAAAATAAGAGAACGATCTTAAGTGTCCTTACCACACACACAAAAGATAACTATGTGAGGTGATACATGTATTAATTAACTTGTTTGTGGTAATCCTGTCACAATGTACATGTATATGAAAACATCACATTGTACATCTTAAAAAAAAAAACCACACTGTACAACCTAAATATATACAGTTTTACTTCACACCTCAATAAAGCTGGAAACAATTTAGGTGCACAAAATCATCTCTAGGTCCACCTTTCCCAGGGTAGTGGATATGAAAGTTAAAATGAAAATTATTCTCAGAGTGAACAGATGTTATCCATTTGACCCTTTCAGCATTTTTTTTTTCTTTATAGCACTTATTCCTAGTTAAAGGTAATGCATAAATATATATTCACCAGTCAGTGACCTCTGTTCTAAATAGAAATAAATGTAGTGGAATGTTTTATGAAAGTTGATGTTGCAAGTTGGAAAATATTTTCACAGAGAGATAACCCACTCTGCAAATTCAAGGTTACTCAGAGTTTGACTAATTTTTACAAGTCATAGTCAATAACTCACAACTTAGAGGGAAAAAATGCGAGAGGGTGAATAATATATTGAATAGTCTCTAACTTATCGAATTTATTTTGAATTCATCACCAAAGAACAATATTTTCCAAGATGGCTTTTCAACCAAATGACTTACCTTCATCCTGGACTACAGAACTTATTATTTAGAAGTAGCACACACGTGTGTGTGTGTGTGAACAACAACATGTTATTAGTGTTTTCCTCTTCTAGATTTTCTGTTATCTCCTACATTTTTGCAAACAAGCTATTTCAAAAAAGAAGTAAAATAGGACTTTCATTCTTCAGTGCTCATGCTGTTCATAAGAATAGGGTAGATATAGTTCTCAGTGTATAAGACTTTCACCTCCAAGGTAAAGGAAACTGAAGATGATTCAAAGAGATGGAAAGATAATCCATGCTCTTGGACTGGAAGAATACTGTTAAAATGGCCAAACTACCCAAAGCAATCCACAGATTTAATGTGATCCCTATCAAATTAGCCATGATATTTTTTTCACAAAACTAGAACAATAATCCTAAAATTTATTAGGAAACACAAAAGACCCAGAATTGCCAAAGCAATCCTGAGGGAAAAGAAAAAAGCTGGGGGCATAATCCTTCCAGACTTCAGACAATACTACAAAGCTACAGTAATCAACACAGCATGGTATTGGCATAAAAACAGATATATAGATCAATGAAATAAACCCAAACACCTACAGTCAATTAATCTTTGACAACGGAGGCAAGAATGTACAATGGAGAAAAGACAGTCTCTTCAGCAATTGGTGTTGGGAAATCTGGACAGCTGCATGTAAATCAATGAAGTTAGACTACTTCCTCCCACCATACACAAAAATAAACTCAAAATGGCTTAAAGACTTAAATATAAGACAAGACACCATAAAACTCCTAGAAGAGAGCATAGGCAAAACATTCTCTGACAAAAATCACAGCAATATTTTCTTAGATCAGTCTCCCAAGCCAAAAGAAATAAAAGCAAAAATAAACAAATGGGACCTAATCAAACTTATCAGCTTTTGCACAGCAAAGGAAACCATAAACAAAATGAAAAGACAACCTAGGGACTGGGAGAAAATAACTGCAAATGATGCAACCAACAAGGGCTTAGTTTCCAAAATATACAAACAGCTCATACAACTCAATATCAAAAAAACAACCCAGTCTAAAAATGGGCAGAAGACCTAAATAGACATTTTTCCAAAGAAGACATATAGAGGGCCAATAGGCACATGAAAAGATGCTCAACATTTCTAATTATTAGAGAAATGCAAATCAAAACAACACCAGTCAGAATGGCCATCATCAAAAAGTCTGCAAATAATGAATGCTGGAGAGGGTGTGGAGAAAATGGAACCCTTCTACACTGTTGGTGGAAATGTAAATTGGTACAGCTACTATGGAAAAGAGTCTTGGAGGTTCCTTAAAAAACTAAAATTTGAAGTACGATATGATCCAGCAATCCCACTTCTGGGCATTTAACCGGAAAAGACAAAAACTCTAATTCCAAAAGATACATGCACCCCAGTGTTCATTGCAGCACTATTTACAATAGCTAAGACATGGAAGCAACCTAAGTGTCCATTGACAGATGAATGGATAAAGAAGATGTGGTACATATATAAAATGGAATATTACTCATTCATAAAAAAGAATGAAATGATGCCATTTGCAGCAATATGGATGAACCTAGAGATGATCATACTAAGTGAAGTAAGTCAGAGAAAAGACAAATATCATACGATATCACTTATATGTGGAATCTAAAAAATAATACAAATGAACTTATTAACCAAACAGAAATAGACTCACAGACATAGAAAATAAAATTACGGTTACCAAAAGGGAAAGGGAGGGGAGGGATAAATTAGGAGTATGGGATTAACAGACACACAATACTACACATAAAATAGTTTAACAGTAAGGATTAACTGTATAGCACAGGGAACTATATCCAATATCTTGTAACAACCTACGATGGGAAAAAAATGTAAAAAAGAATCTATATTTGAATCACTTTCTTGTACACCTGAAGCTAACACAGTATATTGTAAATCAACTATACTTCAACAATAAATGAATAGGGTATACATAATACAGAATGATTTCCCTGTGTTAAACCAAATATTAGTATCCTCCATGTATGGGAAAAAATGAAAATCTTTGAAACATAAATATTTTCTTTGGACTATATAAGAGTGAGACTATATAAAATTTTGGATTTCACATCTATTCTCCTTAATTTGCACAGATTCTTAGCTAAATTGTCAAAAACATCTGAAGTCTACTTTTATCATATTTAAGCAAATCTATTAAGGTAAATTAGTTATTGCATATTGGATTCCTTTGCTCTTTCTTTTATATTTTAATAAACACAGTTTAAAATAGATGAGAGTATCTTGGAGTCCTAAATTAGACCAAATTAAATTAGTAAATGTCTATTAATCGCTATGTTTCAGATCCTATTCTTTTAATTATAATGGTTCCTGTTATGTGGAAAACCACCAAGAGGTTGGGTTTGCTCAGTGAATGCCAGAAGGGAGGCCTTCATCCTTATATTTTTATGTCTTTAAGCGTTAGAAGAGAATCATTAAACAGAATCTAATGGGGAATTTCTCAACTGTGGTAAATATTTGTATGTGTATTTGTTTTATGTGTTATTCTGGTCTCTCCAGATAATTTCTATTTGCTCTAAATCTCCCCAGGTGGATTTATACTGGGAAGTAGTGATAAAATATGGTGATCAATCACTGTGACTCTGGACATTCAGGGAAAAAGCAAAACTAACAACATAAGACAGAAAAAGTAAACATCTAGGTATTTCACTATAGCTTTTGATTTCTATAATTCAGAGACATCTGTGACATAATGGTTCCTGTCTTCCTTGAGTCCTTTTCAGTAACAGTCCACAAAGCCAGGCCATACAGAAACACACAGCCTACTGTATGAAAAGACATCTATCCTTGAGCAGGAGATATTCTGTGTTCAAGGAGCCACAGTGCTGAATTCAAACATTCCTGGAGCACCTCTTACGTTACAGGTGCTGCTGTATATGCGGGGCATGGCCTCTGCCTTCAAGGAGCTGATAGCATAGAAGAGAAATGAGATGGGCCAAATCATACAACGTGTTAGCAACTGTGTCAGGTGTGTGCATATGGTGTCACGAGTGAATACGGGATATTTAGAAATCAGAGTCCACAGTCACACAGTTGAGCCTTCTGTTATGAACTTCCTCTCTTAGTATTTGGTACATCTGTACCAAATACAGGAAACATTCTTTCTCCTTCTGCCTTCCATTTCTAAACAGTTCTTTACTTAAAATAAGTACTTACTTAAAACACCTATTGCAAGAAACATCTAGAGAAATTTGGTGATTTTTAAAATTATTTATCAGTCCCATATCACACATTATTCTCTTTGTTTATGACATCTCACTTTGTTTTGTTTCGTTTTGTTTTGTTTGCGGTACACGGGCCTCTCACCGCTGTGGCCTCTCCCGTTGTGGAGCACAGGCTCCGGACGCGCAGGCTCAGCGGCCATGGCTCACGGGCCCAGCCGCATCGCGGCACATGGGATCCTCCCGGACCAGGGCACGAACCTGTGTCCCCTGCATCGGCAGGCGGACCCCCAACCACTGCGCCACCAGGGAAGCCCATGACATCTCATTTTGCAGTCTCAGTTTTCTTTGCACCATCATAATCAAGGAATATTCCAAGGTCGCCAAGTTTGTTCAAATAACAACAATATTACCTAAGTCTCAGTTTATCACACCACTACCATGTCAAGTTTAAAAATTACTCTGCTTAGCCAGGCCAGTCTGCCCTCAGTCGATACATATCTCTTGTCATTCCTCTTTGTACTCACCCCCCCTTTTTTTCTGACACGTTGTACAAATTGAGCAAGATCACTTTGAGCTTTTGATTCAAGCAGTAGAATATACCTTTAAAGTCATAATTAAATTAATACAGTCTTATTACTAATAGTAGAAGGTATTTGAATGCCCATAAAGTCAAAAGATAAACTACTCTTTCTTATGTTAATCAAATAAACATTCTTTGTTCTTAAACATATAACTTAGAGGAGTATCCACTGCTCTATTCAAAATGAACTAGCATTTGCAAAAAAAAAAAAAAAAAGGAAGATTTCCGTCCTCTGAGACAGTCTCAACCAACTTTCCTCCTCGCCCACCCTCACCATCTCAGTGAGGTTCTGTTTCCCTCATTCAATCCACACTCAGGGCAGCTAAGACAGTACCTCAAGTCTGATTCCAAACATAATCACGAGCATGTGACACCAACACAGCAACAACAGAACTTAAGCTGTGGAAATCACGATAGTTTCAGGAGCGAACACTGAATAGATTTCACTGACCTGAGGAAATATCTATCTGGCTCATCTTGGTCTGCGTGATGTTGATGTGAACGCTGACTTTGCTGTCAGTGAGGTCAATCTCCACGTTGCCCAAATTATCCGCAAAATGACTGAAAAGCAGGAGACCATTGGGGTTCCAAGTCCTGAACTGGAAACTAACCGAAAACAGGTCTTGATGAAGCTGTCCAGGCACCTCCAGGTAACTGGTAGCATTGAAAAAGACAGGTACCGTGTAGGGCTCCACACACGTGAAACTCAAATTTCCCTGGAAAACAGAAGGGCATGCTTTAAGGAAAGTGTAGAATAAAATAAGCATCCATGGAAGACAGTAGACAAAGCGACAGTTTTGAGCCCGTGTGAAATTCTCATGTGCAGCAGTGTAACATGGATGCAGCAACTGGATACCTTGGCACGTCCTTCCTGCTATAGCTAACAGGGTACGGCAGTTGGCTATCAAGTTGAGGGATTCATACAAGCACCATCCATCATGGAATTGAGAGACTGACAGCCTGATGTGATGGGCTGACTATGAAATGGATGTGTCCTTGTGTGGTGGGCTTGGGTGTGGACCACTGGACCTTCTGAAGACAGCAAAGAGCTGCTTTTCCCTCCCCCACTACCGATGCTGCACCCGTCGGGGAGGGAATGCCTTTGTCCTCTTTTGGGTGGCCTTGGTCAAATGTTTATTAACATATAAATCTGGTCTCAGTGGGAACTATGATCATTCGGTTGCTATTTATTAAGCTATTATGGGGCAAATACTCCTGGGTTTTATCTCAATACCTAATATATATGAATTAATATTAACTATTTAGCATCAATATGACTGTGATTACCTCAGATTATTTTGTTATTCTACTCAAAAATCTCATTTAAATTCCCATGAAGGACTTCCCTGGTGGCGCAGTGGTTAAGAATCCACCTGCCAATGCAGGAGACACGGGTTTGAGCCCTGGTCCAGGAAGATCCCACATGCTGTGGAGCAACTAAGCCCGTGCACCACAACTACTGAGCCTGCGCTCTAGAGCCTGTGAGCCACAACTACTGAGCCTGTGTGCCACAACTACTGAAGCCTATGCTCCGCAACAAGAGAAGCCCGCGCACTGCAATGCAGAGTAGCCCCCGCTCGCCGCAACTAGAGAAAAGCCTGTGTGCAGCAACGAAGACCCAACGCAAAAATAAGATAAATAAATAAATTTATAAAATAAATAAATTCCCATGAAGTGTGCATATATAACACATTAATGTTTGTGGAAACAGTGACATGAATGTATAGAAGGAAAAGAAAACTTGCAATAATTAAAGCTTCCTCCTTTCCCTTCACACTCCCTCTATTTGGTACAAGGAAATTTGATTTATTATTCAAATACATTGAGTTTTATATTCTAGTGTCTAAGTACCTTCCTTTTAAAGATATGAAAATCTACATATTCTTCCATCTTTTTTTAACCCACCATATCTTGAGGAATATGATTTGGAGACATTTTCACTTCATTTTTTGTTTGTTTGTTTGTTTAACAACACTGCAAATTTGTCCCTAGATGCATAGCCCTTCCATTTAGTACATTAAGCTAGGCTGTCTCTCTGAATTAATATTCAAATTAAATTTGTGCTGTGACTTCACAGATGATTATTTTTAAATGCTCACTTTTCCCGATGAAAAGAACTGGTTGTGCATAATAACTGAGATGTCACAAATGACTGCATGCCTGTGCTGTGGGGATTGTCTCCCCGCAAAGTTAACAGGTATTTTCTGAGTAATGGTGCTGACTCTGGATCCACCGTATAATGAGGAAATGGGTGTGTATATGGAGAGGGGTGCAGGATGAGTGCTGAGTCAATTCCACTGAAATATCAGCACCTGACATCTTAGAAAGCAAATTTCCTACGTAAATATTTGCCTTTGTCGAGCTGCTTGCAAATGTCCAACTTGCCTCTATACTGCCTAAACTTTAATACATAGTTTTAAAAGCCTTTTTTATGTCTGCTCATTCTATTGTAACAAACATAATTATAGATAATTCATGCTTTTCTAAATGTCTTTGTTATTCTAGTTAAAATAGCATTTATAAGCACAATATATATTTTGGGGTTAAAGCTGATTTTGGAATGAGTCTCCGGAGTGCAATTCTCTGTAGTTTGGGTACCTAATTAATACATCTGAGGACCAACTGGGAGGTTTGGGCAGAAATAACACTTTACTTCTTAAAGGTGTAAATAATGGAAAAGGTATTATGATGATTTGGACTCTGTACCCTTCTATCTTAAGTAACAATTTCTGAGGAAACAAAAGGACTCTGATGCCATTTTATCCAAAACTTAAAATAGCCTATGTATAAATACTGCTCTAGATAAGAAATAACACAGCATGGAAAGAGACCATGACCTCAGGGGTCGGATACTGTGAATCCACAATCTATGTTTATTGGAAAGTTATTTTTCCAGTTTAAATCTCAGTTTTCATCTACAAAATGTTTATGACAATATCTCCCTTGTAGTATTGTTCTTAGATTACCATAAATGTAACAGGTCTTGTACAGTGCCTTTTGCCTGTACATGGAGCTATTATTATTTTTCTCTACAGTCAATATATCTTATGAGAAAATTTCACCAAAGTTCAATTTTTAACTATTAGTATAAATTCATCATTATTTTTAAGAAAGATAATTAGTAAAGAAAAATTTTGCATTAAATTATTATTTTATAGTTTCTTATATCCAACCTGAACTCTTGGTTATTCATTCAGCATTTCCATTTGTCCAATAATTTTATGAAAACCCTAGACTCAAGTTTGGGTTAACAAGACCAGAGTCTTTTAGAGCACAGCACAAATACTCATTATATTATCCACTCCCACTGGCTCCCAAATATATGGATCTCTGGATTCCCAGGCTCTTCTCAATTACATTTTGGGATTAAAGAAACTCCTGCTCTTGCAGAGCCATAAGGGACTCATACCAGATTTTTAAGTTGATATCTTGTAGTGATCCTATATGGTGTCGTAGGAACGCAAGTGTGCTAGCATGTTCTTTGATCTCTACTCTCCTTCTTGAAATAGTTCAACCTGGAAACACTCACACCAGAGTCAGAGAAGACCACTGTGAGCTTCTGGGTCACAGAATTCACTATCCAATCTAATCAGTCTTTATTTAATTGCATAATATTTGGTATGTTTAGCTTTGACAAGAAGTTTATCTCTTTACATATTTGAGTGAATTAACTTTGGAAACATGGAAGTAAATATAATAAAGTTCCTGGTTTTAAAACTTTTAAAATATTGAATTACATCATAATCAAGAAATGCAGAGCTATATACGATGTGACATTTGGAAACATGAGGCTGCCGATTTAAGGGCTGCTGAAAGGCTGCGATGAGGTGTGCCTGTTCCTCTGCCATGGGGAATCCAGAAACACTGGGGCTGAAATTCTGGGCCCCATCTTAATCAAACTTATTGTCTATTTCTGGTTAATTTAACTCAAAAACTGGTATCTTTTCTCAGAGTAAATTCAGTATCTCCATATCTTCAGGTATCTCTAAAGTTAGTTTTGTATGATTGAACTCACCACAAGCCTGATGATAAATGCTATGATGCTGTTATTTATTAACAGTCCAGACACAATAAAATTTCTTTGAGTTTTCTATGAACCAATATTTTGGGGGTGAAAAACCTTACCACATTTGAGGGTTCTAGTTTCTTCCTTCTTGCGAGATCAGTTATGTTGATGCCATTGTAGTTAATGTTTTCCATGCAGCCTTTGAAATTCTTTCTACTGCTGGAACTTGGCTTACCAGAGAAAGGTATGCCTCCAAAGGTTATCTTTGGGAAAAAAAGACAAAATGTCAACATTCACACTGTATTTGACTTAAAAAAAAAAAAAACATTTACAATAAATTAGACAAAACCACTATTAGATCCAAGGTCAGTTATCTTTATCTCGACCATATATACATTTTTTTCTGCCTCCAAAGTCTGTTGCATATTAAATTATGTTGTTATTGAAGTATGTGCTAATTGTCATTAATTCTGAAAATTAGACTCTGTAACTTGAACAAGAAAATAGCAACAACCCCTAGCATTTTAATACACAGAAGACAGTTTATCAATTTTCCTGGGACGGTTTTAAAAGATTTTACACAGAAAATATCTTTTATTAAGTAATATTAAGAATACATTTTTATGCTTATCATTCAAAGACATACTATCAATAAATGCTTCTAGCCATTATGAAATAACCAGCATTAATATATTAAGTTTATAAAACTTCAGCCAAAAGCAAGGAAAATTGTATTCAGCCTATTTAGACATTATAGTCTAATGACCATTAGAGTAAAAAATTCATTGGTCTTATTGTGAATGCAGAAAATAGTTCCAAAAGTCTAATTGCAACACTGATTAGGAACATCTTCAGATTTGGGGGCTATAATTTGAGAACTGCAGGTTTAAAGATATTATAGGTCTCCTAGGTCCTAAGGAATAAGGTCAATGCTCCTCCCTGTGATTCTTAAGCAATCATTGCCTATAAAAAGAGAGTATATATTTTTCTACATATTTTTGATCAAATTATAGTACTAAATATCAATTTCATATAATACAAAATTATACTTAATTATGTATTGCCAATGATATTTACTGCTAATAATTGTGTATTGCCAATGATATTTACTGCTAGTAGTGAATGAATCTATTAATCATAGCTGTAATATCAAGATATATAAACCAGATACATTTCTCTTAATTATTATTAAATTACCAATTTTTCTTACAAAGTTTTGAAAATGGAAGACATATTGCAATGTCAAGACTTCATATTTTATATATAAAGCAGAGATCTTTGGGTTTTAGAAGACACAAATTATGCTTCTGTTATTTATGTTTTGGCATTTTAGTTTTACTTTTTAATTTAAAAAAAAATTACATTTTAAAATTATTTTTTAACCATTTTTTAATGTTTAATGTACAATGTTGTTAGTTTCAGGTGTATAGCAAAGTGATTTAGTTATACACATATATATATTCTTTCTCAGATTCTTTTTCATTATGGGTTATTACAAGATATAGAATATAGTTCCCTGTGCTCTACAGTAGGTCCTTGTTGTTTATCTATTTTATATATAGTAGTGGGTATATGCATTTTAAACGCTTAACTGGTTTTAGGGAAAAAGCACAAATTAATGATGGTTTATGAGACAGTATAAAAAAACAAAAAACCTCACTTAAAATAAAATTAAATGTATTAATACCAGTTAGCTGTATATATATCATTTACCTTAGATTTTAAACATGGGAAGAAAAGAGAAAAACTAAGAATACATAAAAAATAATAAGGAGACTACAAAATGAATAATAGAGTATTCTAAAATAGATTAGGAAAATATTTTCAAGTGGCACTGAACGGAACTTATTAGGTGCTATACACATGTAATTAATTACAAAGGTAAGAATTAATGATACTTTAATGGAGTGTTGTATTTCCCATCTAAAATTCATTTTATCAATTTTATCAATTTCTACTCCAGTAATAAAATCTTCCAGGCTTAATGACATGCAGCATCACATTTTGAATCATATTACTAAATGCTAGTTAAAAGTATTGTTTTATTCCTTCTCTGTGTGCGTAGTTTCTTTATGGGGGGACTCTCCGTTTTCTTCCGGATGATGATTCACACACTCCTTAGGGTTTCTCTGTTTTTGACAACCTTTGGCTCATGTCCTACCTTACAGAAGGTACCCTGGTGAAGCATCACAGGCTCAATTTACCAGATTCCTTACAATTAAGAGATGTGGGTTCAAATCCCAATTCCTAATGTAACTCATCATTTGATATTAGGTGCTCACTACTTGTTTCTTGTTATGTATTCTCATCAACAAAAGGAAACACGTTCTGATATTGTAATCATTCTCATGGTAAAAAAACTGTTGCAGTTGTTAGACTAATAATCTGATATTGCTATGACTCACACAATCGCCTTATGAATGGCACTGCCATTCAATGACAATGTTGACTCTAAAAAAGAATTGCACTGACTTTTTTTTGTTAGCTACCAAGAGTTTCCAAAGGGTGGCAGAGACTGCTAGATACCTCTGAGTGTCCTTTCTCCCACCTTCTTTAAGAAAAAACCATTGCTTTTCAGCTAGGCACAGGCTCCCCAGACAATACATGGCATTTACCAACCTCTTTGAACAAGTTTTGGTCTCATGAGATTTAAGTGGAAGGGTTGTGTGTGACTCCAAGAACTATAATTAAAGGGATGGGGGGGGCACAGTCTTCTTCACTCCCTTCCTTCTCACTGTCTGGAATGCAAAATGGAACGTGAGTGACTATCTTGGAGTGATTTGCAGAGGGGATGGAGTAGCAGCAGGATAAAAGTAGACTGTGGTCTTGATGACCATGATGCTGCCATTTGAGCCCAGGGCTACCTGCCTGTAGGCTCCTTTTATGTGAAAGGAATAAACATGTATCTGTTATGTTCAGTCATTAATTATAACTGATATATGTGGTGATTTCTATTACTTCCTGTTGTCTCCTCACATAACCCTATGAGCAATGTGCTATTATATTCACTTTATAGAAAGGGAATGTGATTTCACCACTGTCACACAACCAGTTAGGGGCAAAAAAGGGATTCAAACCCAGGATTATGGCTCCAATTTGAGCTCATGCAGTTGATTCTCTACAAAATCCCAACCAGTTTCTAAAATCCTAGCCCAGTTCTGCAGTGGACAAGGGGGAGGCATTCTTCTACTTTCCAAGCAGAGCCGTATGGCAAAGGCAAGGGCATAACATCCAAAGTGGGTGTATCTTGGCATTTGGATAAAGAAGGGAGAGAAGCCAGGACAAACACCAGTCTGCTGTCCTGCCCTGTGTTGTCACTGGCTGGAGGAGGAAGAATGAAGTGAACTGCCTCTGTACACACTTGCACGCTTCTCAGGTCACCATGTAGCTTGACTGCAATGGTGACTGGCTCACTTTTAACAGGCTACAGAGAGGTCAGTGAAGTGAACGGTTAAGGCTTCTCCCCCCGCCCAGAAATGCCCAAATTGAGTTATGTCCAAGGAACAAACTTGTCTTCTATTGCTTCTTTTATGATGTATCAATATATCCCCGGGAATGAAGCTAGGTATTATTTAATTAACCGCTGGCAGCAGTGTGCTGTATCCTACCAATACTGGCTCATGAGAACTGATTGTTAGAGTCATTGTTAAAAATTAAATTATATAAGCTTTAAATTCAATACATTAAACAAACAATAACTACTCAGAACTCACGTCTACATTTTCCTATCATGTATGCTCTTGAGGTTATTTACGTTTATTTTGTCTACATGATGGAAATATTGAATAATGGTGTAGTATAATAAATATTTTTGGTCTTTGTTCCCAGTTCCGGGCACAGAGCTCCTAAAATCCTTGCAATTTCCTGAGTAATAGGTGTGTCTTTTGTTAGTCATAATGAGAGCCCTTTCGTGCAAGGAGATGTGTGCAAAAACACTGACAGACCGATTCTACTATAGTCCCTAATTTTCTTTAAACAAATAAGAGAATCCCTTTTATATTCAGGTAAACATGTTGAGATATAAAGGTAGGCCCAACCATTTTCATTGCAGCTTTTGCCAATAACTGCAGGATCTGAGGAAAGTAATCAGGTAGTAGCTCTACAAAGAGAAATATGTTGAGTCTCTCCTGATTCTTTCTAGTAAATTAAAATTTTTTTCCTGTGTCTCTCTAACAAATGTGTCTCAGGCATTTTAGTCTACAGGTGAGGTTCTCGAACATGGTATTCTATCTAGAGGGGCTTCGAAGTGTTGATGAAACTGCTGACCCCATAGAAAGCATTGTGTGTGCATGAATATTCATAGATTTCATCAAAAACTCAAAGGGTCTATAACCCCAAACTTTTAATTCTGTTTTTGAAAATTGGAATTGTGTTTGCCCATTACTAATGTTCCAGGATTTCTCACCTCTTCTATGATACTTCAAAGTTTATTAATGGAGAATGAATAATTCATCTTTAAATTCTCTCCTACAGTAGGAGATAAGCCACATAAGTCAAGATTCATATTAATTTACAGAAGATAGAAATTTTAGGGATTTTCACATTCTTTCCCTTTCAACAATCATTTTTACTTTAGAGAGATGTTTGGAGGAGTAATTATTTCCTGATAACCTTAGATTTATTTTAATGTTAATAAAGTCTCTATATCAAAGTTTATATGGCATATTCTATTCTAAATTTCTATTTAGAAATATATATAATGTATTTATATTACAGAAAATTTAGAAACTATTTAAACATATAAAGAAAATAACGTAGTTGTAAATCCTGACTTTTTCACTTACTATGCTATGGTAAGCACATTCTATGTTCTAAAAGATTTACGTATGGATATCAGTAACATACATATATGTATATGTATATATCTGCAATTTCAAAACTGGGGGCCGAGGCACATGGAGATGGCACAGCAAACTCATAGGGGTGCCCCAGTGATGAATATCTTCTTACAGAACTTTTATCCCTATTTATGATTAACATTTTTGATGGACATTTTAAGGTTGAACTGCTCTCCAAATAATTAAAAAACTTGATATGCCTACCAGTATATTATGAGAATATATATTTTTTACTGCACCAATATGATCATTGATTATTTTTTAATCTTTGATCATTTGGAAGGTAAAAAAGTATTTTTATTTATGGACAATCTCTTTAAAATATTCTGTATTTTTATTTCTTTTATGACAATGATATCTGAGAAAACAGAACTTGTCAAAAGAACTATCTACAGACAGGAATGTATAAATGACTTAACATATACCAGAACTCAGGATTTCTTATTCAATATTTTATAATAAATATTAGACAATCCTATGTACATAATATACTGTACATCATCAAGAACAGGCGATTTATGTTATAATTAACTACCAAAGAAAAGATTACAATTTAAATTTATTGTGGTTTTGTTAAATGGCCATGATAACATGATAAATGGTCCTTCTCTTTAAATATATCAGTATGTTATTTTGGTACCAAGTTTTAAAAAATGTTTTAAGAACTCATTATGAATAATTTAGAAATAAATAAAATGACATATTAACAAACTAGGTTGTCAAGTTGTAAGTTAAGTTTTCTTTGGAGGATAAAATGAAAATGGTATAGGAAGGTATATGATTAACAATAATACAACAAGACAGTAGGAAACTGAGGCAGCCACTTGATGCATTACAACTTATACATCCTCAAATTTACCTCATAGTCCAAATCCAGGTAGTCGAACTCCCCATTGGTGCGGAAGTGCTGCGTGCTTCTGTCCAGGGTGAGGTTGATGCTCCGGCCCTGGCGCTCAATGACCACAGAGTGCCAGTGGTGATCATCCAGCAGACTTCCTGTCATCACAGACGTGTGGCCATATATGGGGCCAAGCTGGTTGCTTCCTGAGTCATGTGAGTGGAAAAGAAACAAGGCAAAGCCATCACGACTCTATGTCGAAGTAGACCTTTCATCTACAACACCAAGGGTGGACATTTCTCTAAAAGCTCTGTCTACTGAAGTTAACATGGGAAAACCAACATGTAACTACACTTAAAAACAGTTGTAAGTTCAAACTACATAAAAGCTATTAAAGATGGAAAACAGTCTGCTCCCTTAAAAAACATGTTTTGTTTTGTTTGTTTTTCAATTACTGTGCCATGAATTCTGCTCAATTTGGTAGATTCTTTATAAAGTCAGTGCCCCATGGGGTCTAGGGCCAGAGCGCCTGGATTCTGATGCTGGTTCCACCATTGGCTTGCTCCATGATCCTGGCCAAGTTGACAGTTCTCTGGGCCTCTCTTTCCTTACATGTAGAAAGGGAAGAATAATAGTACCTGCTTTACAAGGTTGCTGTAAGGATTAAATTAATTAGTACAAGCAAAGAACTTACACACTTCCTGACATATAGTGAATATTCATTAAATGTTACCTGTTAAATTTTATTATTATTGTTATTATTATTATTTTTGGTCAAGAAAACATGGCATGACAATTTTCAGGTTTTTTTTTTTTCTGATTCCAAAAGCCATAATCAGTATAATATTTAATGTCATAGAAAGTTTACCCAAGTTATACTTTAAAATAAAAAACTGCAAAATTATATATGCAGCATTAATCCAGTCTTGAAATAAGATCTCCATAGCAACAAGACTATAAATAAGAGCGGAAGGTTGTGAGAATCTGAAGTGTTTACTAAAGTCATCTCTGGATGCTGTTTACATATTTTTTTTTACCATTTTTTATTTTGTCTAATCAAGCATTGCTTTTGATGGTCAGACAAAGCTAAATGCTATAAAAATACAATATTGCTTCAGAATAAATAGCATAATAGAAATCAGAGAAACACACAATTGACTGAAGAATTAAATTATTTTCATTTTTTCACATTTAGGATGCTAATATGCCTATACCTGACATTTTCTATGGATTTCCTAGATGAAATTTCTTTCCTTTTGGTGATGAAATCAAATGTTGCCCTGTGATTGTGATTATGATTGTGTATGTACATTGGTGGTGGGACAGGGAGAAAGAAAAAAAAGAAAAAATTTAAGTGAAAGACTACATTGTTTCATTACTTTAAATATTTAGACTAGAAGACTAAGCAGCAACACGTGCCTGATATTTAGGTAACAGCATTAAAGAGTGACAGCAGATATTTGAGTGGATGTGTTTCCATGGCTGTCATAAATTCTAGTCAATAAAACTCTACACAAACTGCTTTCCAATGACATGGTAATGATCTTTTTAGTGAGGCCATATGATCAGTTCTTGTTTCAGAACAGTAATGTCACACTCTTACAAGCCCCAGTGGCTTTTAAAGGCTACTCTGTACATTCCACTTTTTTCAAAAAAACAGGAGAAAGGTTTGAAAAAATAAACTTCTTTGGATATGATCCAATTGCTCTGAGTGTGTGTGTGTGTGTGTGCATGTGCATGTGTATGTGTGAGAGCGTGCATGTTTTTAAAAAGCACTTATGTTTGGTTTTCTGGTTTCTCTTCCCCCATCCCTCCTTCTTAGCTTCTACTGAACCTTTTTCTCAAAAACTATTTAGGGATATGTTTCTCCCAGGTAATGTATGAATACATGTTTAATATTACAAATAGAGATTATAAAGAATTAATATGTAAAACTTAATCACTCATTTCCATCACTAAAGATAGCGTGGTCTATTTCCTTCCAGACATTTTTTCATTTACATACATTTAATTATATATACATATAATTATATAATACATATAATTCATACACATAATATAAAAATATTGATATATTATTTATATTTTCCTACGGTTCTCATTTAGTGCTGTACAGTATTCCCCAAATTATTCACAGACATTTTAAACACATACCCACCTATTTCTATATGTTAAGCTTTATTTCTTTCAATTTTTGTTATTGTAACAAATATTGCAAAGTACGTCCTTGGACTTAAATCCTAAAGTTATTTCTTATTATTTCTTTATGATTATCGGACCAAAATATATAAAGAATTTAAAATATCTGAAGATACACTATCAAATAGCTTTCTTGAAATATTTTCAGGAACAGTACAAAGAATGCTTTTTGTCACATAACTCACCAACACAGATACTATCATTTTTAAAATTTATTTACTTGAAAAAATTGGAATCTTGTTATTTTACTGTACATTTCTTTTATAGATAGTTTGAGCATTTGGTGTTTATAGATTATTTATAATGTTTCTTCTACAAGTTTTTCTTATATTTTTTGGCAATATTTTCCTCCTAAAGTCTTGGTATTATTACAGAGTGGAATGAATTTTTATTCATGAATGACATTCAACTTCTATATTTGACATTTGTATTTTCCCAGATTTTGGCAGGCATTTTCATTTTATGACTTTTTAATATAAAAATTTAAATATTTTTGTGTAATTATATAATCAGCATTTTTGGATAACTTTCTTTTTTGTTATAGAAATTATTATTCCTGTCAGAGATTTTGAATGTGTAAAGTTTTATAATAAAAGATAAATCTTTGTAGACACTATAGCAAGTATTATCAACCAAAAACACTAACTGAAGTTTTAATTTTTAGTATAATTTTGATTTTCAAAGTAATAAAAGTTAGTATAAGGGACACAAGCCATATTTAAGAACAACCATATTGATAAGGAAAGTAAATAGGCAGGATCTCTTTTTGTGTTCTAATTTTTAGTTTTATAGCTTTCCATTGGGATGCATTTAACATGTGAATTTTAAAAGATTATAAAAGAATTCTATAAAGATTATAAAGTCTTTTATAATCTTTATGGACTATAAAATCTTTATAGAATTCTAAAGTCACTGCAGCATAAAAAATACAGAATATATGATGCCCTTCAAACAACTCTTGCATAAATCCTGAAATTTTTAGGCAAGAGGAGGATAAATGTACTGGTGATTTGCATGAATTGTAACTTTGAATGTCAGTATCTGTGTTGTGGATCTTCCCTTTAGCTTTAAGTAAACCTGAGCTACATTATCAACAACCAAACATGTATTAGGATTGTCCACTTAAAAACAACAACAAAAGCCCAAAACAAAACAATAACTCCTTCTTTGAGTTTCATCTCATTCTCCAGTAAACGTATCATTTCTGATTCCTTCATTTCTAGTTGATAATAATTAAAATATTCATTCCCACACCTTTCATCTTTTCTTGACTGATGACAATAAAACTACTGTCCTTTCTATTCCACTGAGAATAAATCAACAGTAACCACAATGTTGTCAAACAGTGACCTCAGTTTTCTGTCTTCTTAAGTGACAGTTTAGGCGAATTTGACACAGACCATAGTAGACCGCCTCTTGTCCTTCCCTGGTCTCTGTGATGACACACACTAGTATTTCCTCCTATCCACTGTCCACTTCTCCTCAGTCTCCATGTAGTATCTTCTCCTGTTAATCTCATACATGCAACTCCCTAGTTGAAATCTCAACTTTGATGCCTAATAGGCAACTAAAATGCACCATATCCAAACAGATCTCTAGACTTCCTCTGTTGGAGAAAACTAATACTTGTCTATTAGAAGAAACTCTGCGGAGAAAATAAAGCTTTCTGTATTTCTGAAAATGGTACTAATGTCCATTTGGAACTCAAGCCATACCCTAGGAATTATCCCTTATACATTATCTTTCTTTCTTACTCCATATCCAAATCATTACAAATGATACTGAATTTACCACCAGAATTATCTCCCAAGTGGATCAATTTCTCTACATCTCCACTGATAGCCACCTTCTGCAAGCAGTGCTGTCTCTCACTGTACCAAGCAGTGTTGTCTCTCACTGTCTCTCACTGTACCAGACTCTCATGTTGATGCAAGTGTTTTCTCTTACAGAAGTCTCAGTACTTTAAAAAAAATAAGATCATGATGCTGTAGTTTAAAGCCTACTAATAGCTTCCCATTCTTAAACTAATATCTAAACCTTTTACCACGCCCTAAAGGATACTACCGTATTTCAACAATCCTCAATGTTTGGATTTCATCTTTTATCCTACTTACTCATTACAAATATCCACACCAGCCTTTTCTTGTTCCTTGAGCATGTCAGGTCTTAGTCTTTCGTGATTCCCTCCTCTCAATTAACCTTCTCTCAGATATTTTTAGGGCTTGTTTTTGTCATCACTGAAATCTCAGCATGAATATCTTCTCAGGGAGGACGTTCTTCACTACATATTCTAATGTTGACCCATCTTGCCTATGCAATATCCTTTATATATTAGCCTATTTAATTGATTTCACACTCCTCATCATTATTTGAAGTCATTTCTTTGGATTTAGTTGTTTTATAAAAAGAGTAATAGATAATATAGTGTCTGATGCCCCCACTGTGTCATAAACTTCATGAACTCAAAGAACTCCATTTTTTTCACCCCTGTATCCTAGATGCTCATATAGTACCTGCAGAGTACAGGTGTTTAATACATATTTTTGAATGAATAAGTATATCAATATATATCAACCACTATGAATTAAAACTGGATTGACAATATAATGTGAACTCTTTTTGTAATTTACATTTTAAGGATTAAAGACCATTAGCATTTAACTAATGGGAAGACTAATAAATGAAAAGAATGGTGCCAAAAGTCAGGACATACCTAGGTTTAAACTGAAGACCAGCTTGGCTTTTTTCAGTTCCAAAGTAATATAATCCCCTTGCTGTCCTTCCCCGTGCAAGATTACCCCTTCACTTTCGGAGGTTTTAAATTTCAAAGCAATGACATCTTTCAGTGTTTTCATCTTCTTGTTTCTGAATCTATATGGTAACACAACATGACCGTCAAAGTTGATAACATCAGCCCCTAAAAGAAGAGATAAATAATATGTTAGTTTAATTATTGTATGTTGTCATCCAGTGTGAAGTGTATCTTCTTTCATTGAGTGTCTACACAGAATAAATGAGAAAAAAGTGTTTTTTTCCTGAAAGCTCTTTAGCCCTGGGTTCTTGTTCTATTTCTTATTTTGGTTGATTGTGTGTCCTGAAGTGGATTTTATGGGAAGTACTTACAAAGAATGATCACAGAAACCTTTATCAATATAAATTGTAATACTAATAACATAAATTCCATCAATGACTTACACGCTTCAAATTTTTAACTTAGAAGTTTGGAGTTTACTTGAAAAAAGTAAAATTTTTAATCCCTGAGATATTATGAGATTTTATTATTTTCCTTCTTAAATGAGGCTGAGTGTTTATGATTTCAAATATATATCAATATTTTGCTCACAAATTTTATTTTCCATGACATAACAATGAAGGATCTTGGAATGCAGGGTTTAGGGTATACTCATTTTTCTAATGGTTTTTATATTCTGCTACAGTTTCACTTAACTTTATGGTAGTGCCTAGATATAGTGAACTGAACTTTAAGAAGCTTTTACCATTTGCTTCTAAGACACTCATGTCTGTCTCAAATTCCTTGTTAGCCCCTTGCCTTTGGAATGGAGAAATGGGTTGCCCATGTTTTCGACTACACTAAACAAAGACACCCTCACCCATATATAATCAGAAGAACAAGTATCTAGCCTATACTATGATAATAGTTCTAATTTGATTTTAGGGAATTTCATTGAAAACATGAAATATAAACTTTTTTAGAAATGTGAACAATTTTTTCACCACGCTCAGAAACAAGGGATGGTGGGCAATAGTTTAATAATTGCTACTTATTCACACCAGAAATAGAAAGTGAGATGATTTTATTTATTACACACTGTTGGTTAGTGGGTTGCCAACCCATGGAATGGGTCGACGATGAACTGTAATCATTCAGATCAAATTTTAAGTACAAATAGAAGCTTAGTTACCATAATTAGACCTTTATCATTGAAAATACTTTTAGCTCTTAATATTAAATTGTAGAGAATCTAGACAAATTGGACAGTTCTAATTATCGTAGAATTATAAGCCAGGATGAAGCTGCCTCTCAGTTTGGGGTAAGGTCTTGCCAAAGAATCCACAGGGAGACACTGGAGAAAAATGATAGCAAGTTTAAAGCCTGTCAGAGAAATATCTTCTCATTACATGTCCTAGTTCTCTGGCACTGGTTTACTTCACTCAGCATGGGGAATACTTTGGATCCCGGTAACAGTAACAATAGCACGCTACATCATGGCAGCCTAGGCGGAGGAGCAGAGCTACCATAGGTATATTCACTCTTTCTGTGCAGTACCTGCAGCATATTCACTCTTTCTGTGCGGTACTTGCCTGTATAAGTTTTGCTTTTAACTAATTCTATAAAGTGAATTGACATGAATACAGTTATTTCAAATATTGCTTAGAATATCTCTAACTTTTCCCTTCAAATCATCAATAGATTTTGAATATTTAAAAATATCCTACCACCGCAAACATTTATGTTTTTAAATAATAGTTCAGAGAATTGTTACATTCTAAAAAGTTCACAAAGGAAAATATAACTTGGAATTTTGTTTTAATTCTTAGAGTCAATAATTTACTATAAGACTTTGTATAATCATAAAAATTTTCTTAATCAACAGAATTCTGTTCTGAGAGTGTGAATCACAGAGGTTTATTTACTATGGAGGAAAAAAAGCAGCCATTAAATTTTGGCTTCTGCTAACACTGCAAAGCCAATTAGATTTTAGCTTAATCATCTATACTGTCACAACTGAATTCCAATTGCAATATCTTTATCATCTGTGATGAGAGATAAAACAGAGAAAACGTGGAATCTGATTATTGGATCCCAGATTGAATTTATAATCCAGCAGCTGGTTGAAATGACTTTTTGTCTTGAAAAGTGTATAAACAAAAAGTCAGAAGGAGGGAGTAAATTCTGAATTCCAGAAAGTAATTTTGCAGTCAATTTCATATCAACAACAGTCATTTTATATACCTTCAATATATATTAATTGACAAAAAATATTCCCAATTCATCTCTTAGGAAGTAAATGTTCCTGGAGCTTAGACAGAGGAAAGAATTCACCCCTCTCCCGTTTCCTCCTAACTCAAAATCAGGTCCAGGTACAGAATAGTGACTTATGCAAATGTTGATGCCCTTCTTCCTTACTTTTAGGGAAATGAAATAAGTGACAAGAAGGATGGTCATCATGTAGACAGTCCTAGGATGTTTAAAAAAAAAACATAAGGAATGTTTTTCATGAGGCCCAAACCTCATTTTACAAATAGTAAGTGGTCAGTGGTCAGTTGAGAAACTAATAAAAATGCTCTGCAAGCCAGATCACTCACATCACAAAATCCAAACTGTTCTTCTAGGAATGGGTTAAATGCTTGCACAATATTAGCATGTGGATGTGAACTCAGAGTTGGCTTTGAAATTACAAAATTCCTAGAAATAATCTATGATATATAATTTATACATAAGCACACACCATACACTTTTAAGAGAGTCTGGGATATTGTAAAATCCATCAGAGTTTAGTTCCATTTCCTACAAAATACATTACAATTTCATTTGACATCTAATAGTATGTTGTGCTTATTTTGGGACAAGCCATATTTTTGCCCCTATTACCCTGAATGCTTTCCACTCCCTAGAACAAAGTTTTCTATGCAGTGATTAAATATGTGTGGTTGAACTGTTTAAGCAATCTGAACAACAATATGGCTAGTCAAAAAGTGAATGCAAAATCACAGTGCTTCCATGATTTTGTTTCTAACAATAACTCAGAGAGCTGGTAATGTGCCCAATTCATCAAATCGTCACAGCAGAGAAGGCTTTTACTTTAAAACATTTCATTGTTACTTAGTCTTTACTTTCTGAATTTGGAGATACTCAGATGAGATATTTTGGAAAATTGTTTATCATCTAAAGATTTTATTATTTTAAAAAAGTACCTTTGCTAATTTTTACTACAAATGTAATATATGTTTATTGTTAAAAAGAAATGAACAATACAGAAATACAGAATGTAGAGTGTGAATCCCCAAAACAAGAGATCACCAGTCTTAATGGGTAACCAGTGTTGATGGTGTGTCATTCTAGCTCTTATGCATCTATCTCTCTATCTAATGTATGGAATAATGCAAGAATCTATACATTATTATATATACGTGTGTGTGTGTAATTAGAGAGAGGAGGAAGGGAAAGAGAAAGGAGTATGTCATTTTGTTA